ATAATAACCTAATATGCAAATCCACCGAATGATGGAACGATTGTTGGAAAGACTGGTTGCTATGATGCTCATTGAACACCAGGGGTCAGATGATGAATGCATGATCTTCCCCCAGCCTGCAGGCCCCAGGACAGCCAAGGCGGGTGCCAATGGGGGCCCCTGATTGCCCTGCAAGTTGCCCTGCAGAGGGAAGTTTTCTGTGGTGGCAAGGGGTGGGGCTGGCAAATGGGTGATGCCAGGTCGGCCAAAAGGCGTGCCAGCAGGGGCCCCTGATAGCTCCGTGGGTCACCCCACAGATCAGCCATAATCACCAGCCAGGCCTACGGACCCTACAGGTGCCCAAATTTCATGCAACGGGCTTCTACTGATTTTATAAATGCACAGCATATTTACAGTATTCCAAGTTAGTTTTAAAATTTTATGGTTGGTAGGAATATTTTTTATATAAGTGCTCAAATCAATTACAATTGACCTCATTAAAGAGATATTATGGTCTAATTACTATTCATAAGTAGGATATTATTTCGTATTCATATGAAACAAAGTCCTCTCTAGTTTAAATAAACACAGATATTTAAAGAATTTTCAGTGTCAGTAATACAACTGTCACAGGTCAAGAGTAAAAACAAACATAAAAACTTACAGATGAAGATATTAAGGAGCTATTCTCTTTCACAATGGTTGTAGAGTTCTTAATTGATATGAATTCACAAAGAGACAAACAAAAAGACTAAACAAACCAGATTCTCTGTTTCTCACTTAGCTGAAAATAGCTCTCTACAATCCATCTAGAAGATTCTAGAAGGAAACACCAAATGGTCTGACAATAAAATTCTCAGTCATTACTACCACTCAGTAGGAATAACTTATTTTCATATACAAATAAGAAACAAAAACACAAAAATCACTAGAGAAGAGAAAATAAAAGCTATAGAAACAGAATAAACAAAGTTCAAGTAACATTACTGGTTGGGATTCATCTTGACAGTCAAGAAAAAGGTACTTAGTTTTAAATGGATTATGAGGTGCATTTCTTCCATAATGCAGTTTACTTGTCTCCATCAGATGAATGAAACTATCAAAAATTGTTAAAGTATAATTTTTAAACAAGTATGATCATAATACTCCAAAAAATATAAAATGAATATATATAAAAGATTTTATTGAACTCATTAATTATTGAAGGAACAATTAAGATGTCATGACCAGCTCTAGCTGGTTTGGCTCAGTGGATAGATTGTTGGCCTGTGAACTGAAAGGTTCCAGGGTCTGATTCTGTTCAAGGACGCATGCAGAGGTTGAGGGCTGGAGCCCCAGTAGGAGGCATGCAGGAGGCATCCAATCAATTATTCTCTCTCATCATTATTTATATCTCTCTCTCCCTCTCATTTCTTCTCTGAAATCAATAAAAAATATGTTTAAAAAACAATTTTAAAGAAAAATGTCATAACTAAGTCAGACCATTTTAATAGAGTATTGATAGGAAGATAAAATTGCTAAACTTGATACAAATCCGATAGTGTTCAACAGGGCCATAAAACTGGAGTTCTTTATATACAGACATAATTTATTTGCATTTAGACAAGAAAAAAATTTGCAAGCCAACATGCAGCTTTACTAAATCTGGAACCACAAAGAAATATTAAATAGTAAGTTTAATGTCCCCTAGACTAGGGGCTAACAAATTATAGTCTGTGGGTGAAACCTGGCCACTATCAATTGTTTGCATATTGTTTATGACTGCTTTCATGCTAGAAAGGCAGAGTTGAGTACTTGTGACACCACATGGCCTATGAAACGAAAAATATTACTATCTGGACATTTACAGAAATCATTTTCTTATTGTTGCTCTGGACATTCTTTGGGTGGACTTCACTTTTTTATGACATTAAAAATATATAGCCCCACTCGTTTGCAGTAGTTCTAATTTTTGGATAATTTTAAAAATACTGCTCTGATTCTGCCATGGTAGAAATAATCTCTCCCTTTTTTGTGTTTACATTATATATATATATATATATATATATATATATATATATATATATATATTCAATATATAAAGTTTTATTGTTGAAAGTATTACCTAGGTCCTCCTTTTCACCCTGCTAATCTTCTTCCATCTCATTTTCACCCCCAGAACCTCACCAATACATTGTCTGTGTCCACGGGTATTGCATCTATGCATACAAGTTTATTGGTTGATCAATTCTCACCTACCCTCCCCTACTTTTCCACTGAGATTCAACAGTCTCCTATGCCTCTAGGTCTATGTTTGATCATCAGTTTATTTGGTTCATTAGATTCCAGGTATGAATGAGATCATGTGACATGTAATCTTTCTTTGATTGTCTTATTTCACTTAGCATAATGCTCTCCAGGTCCATCCATGCTGTTGCAAATGGTGAGAGTTCTTTTTTTTTTTTTTTTTTTTTTTTTTTTTTTTTTTTTACAGCTGCATAGTATTCTATTTTGCAAATGTACCACAACTGTTTATCCACTCATCTGCTGATGGGCACTTAGACTGTTTCCAAATCTTAGCTATTATAAATTGTACTGCTATGAACATAGGGTTACATTTATTTAAATCCCTCTTATCCTAATATATAAAAACCCTGGGTCCATCACATTCACAATTACTGGGAGGCTTGATGAACCAGAAGTCAGTCCTGAAGTCAGTGCTGGGTTGCTGTGGTGACCCAGCACTGACTGCTATAGCTGCAGGCATGGTGACCCAACATTGACTGCTGAGGGGGGTGCAAATCAGGCCTGGATAGAGGCTTGAAGAGAGAAGCAGAGTCTGATCCACAGCCTCTATGGAAGCTGTTGATCAGCACCTGCCGCTTTCTTACTTTCAGGGTTTGGTCAGCAGCTGTGCCTCCATTTCTTTGCATGCCTCCACCCAGACTGCTAACCAGCCCTGTCTTTCTGATTAGTCCCCATTGATAGGTCCAGAGACACTGACTAGCATAAAAACCAACCAATTAGAACCAAATATGAGTCAACTGTGAGGAGCCAATGGCTGCCTAGGAGGTGGAGCTTTTGACGCTGACTGGCATAGAAACTGACCAATCAGAACCCAATTGGCTGGCAAAGGAGGGCAGTTGGGGGCGATATCAGACCTGCAGGGAAGGGCAGTTAGGGGTGATCAGGCAGGCAGAGGTAGTTAGGGGCAATCAGGTCAGCAGAGAAGGGCAGTTGGGGGCAATCAGGTCAGCAGGGGAGAGCAGTTGGGGTCAAAATCAGGCCAGCAGGGGAGGGCAATTGGGGTGAGATCAGGCTGGCAGGGGAGGGCAATTGGGGGCAAGATTAGGCTGGCAGGGGAGGAGAGTTCGGGGCAACCAGGCCAGCAGGGGAAGGCAGTTGGGGGTGATTGGGCTGGCAAGGGAGCAGTTACCGTGTTTCCCCAAAAATAAGATATCCTCCGAAAATAAGACCTACTTACAGGTTTCTTTCTGAGTGAAATATAAGGCATCCCCCCAAAAATAAGCCCCCCCTCCCCTAGGCTAAACATGAGAGATTTGGTCCACTGATTCTGAAAGAAATGGTGTCACAAGAAATTCACCAGGAAATTCAGGAATTAGATTGTTATGATGATGTTCCAGAAGATGATGACATGATTGTCATTGAATAAATGAGTAAATTCTTGATACTATAGGATACACAGTTTGTCTGGTTTGTGTTGACAACTACCATACTACCGTACCATATACAGGTAATAAATTTCCTTTATTTTCATTTAACAATAAATGTGTACCGTATTCTTCTTCATGGAAAAATAAGACATCCCCTGAAAATAAGACCTAGCGCATTTTTTTTGGAGTAGAAATTAATATAAGACACTGTCTTATTTTCGGGGAAACAGGGTAGGTGTTAAATCTGGCCAGCAGGCGATCAGGCTGGCAGGCAGAAGTGGTTAAGGGCAATCAGTCAGGCAGTCAGGTGAGTGGTTGAGAGCCAGCAGTCCCAGATTGTGAGAGGGATGTCCGATTGGCACTTTAGGCTTGATCCCATAGTCAGACATTCCCCAAGGGATCCCAGATTGGAGAGGGTGCAGGCTGGGCTGAGGGACACCCCCCCCCCACACACACACACAGTGTGACCTCTAGTAATATTACAGTATGGTTTTGTGATCTTTATTAGATTTAAGCTTATTGAGAACATTTCATCTTTTTATCTACTTAGCATAGTAAACTACAAACAGTAGATATTCAATAAATCTTTGCTGAAACAAACTGAATCAAAACTAAAAGGTGAATGTGAAATCTCAAGGAAGCCTGGAGGTTGGGATTGTTCAGAAAGAACTGCAAAAAAATGAGTTACTTATAAATGAAGTCCTATGTAAAATTATATAAAAGTAAAATATTATAAATTCTGCTGAATTTATTTTCTAGAGACCAATCACTTATCTATAATCTACCATAGTTTCTTCATCTAAATTATATGAATAGTATTTTCTATTTACTTAACAATTTGGAATGTCCCTAGAAACAGGGTAAATAATTTGCATGATAGCCCACAACTGCCCTTTCCTGCTGGCCATCTTGTGTTCACATGGGTTGGCCATCTTGTGTGTTGGAGTGATGGTAAATTTGCATATTACTCTTTTATTAGATATGATTGGCAAACACCAATGACAAAGTAAGAATCTTAAAAGCAGCCAGAGAGACAAAAAGTTGCATACAAAGGAATCCCCATCAGACTAGCAACTGCTTTCTCAACATAAACTCATCAGGCCAGAAGGGAATGGAATGAAATATACAAAGTCATGCAAAGGAAGAGTATGAATCCAAGAATACTGTACCCAGCAAGGCTATCAATCAAAATTGAAGGTGAATTCAGGAACTTCACAGACAAAACAGGACTAAGGGAATTTATCGCCACCAAACCAGCAATGCAAGAAATGCTAAAGGGTCTGCTGTAAAAAAAAAGAAATAGGAAGCAAAGAAGGAACACAGGGTAAAGAATATAAATGGCAACAAATAAGTACCTATCAATAATAACTTTAAATGTAAATGGATTAAATGCCCCAAATCAAAACACATAGGGTAACCGATTGGATAAGAAAACAAGACCCATATATCTGTTGTCTACAAGGAACCCATCTCAGAAAAAAATTTGCACGAAGACAGAGGGTGAAGGGATGGAAAAAGGTTTTCCAGGCGAATGGAAAAAAAAAAAAAAGCTGGGGTAGCAATAGTTATATCTGAAAAAATAGCTCTCAAAGTGGAGGACATAACAAGAGATAAGAAAGGCCATTTAATAATATTAACCCTACCAACCTGAGAACCTGAGACTAACTGTCCCCTATACCTGGGCTCCTGAGCATTACAGAGACAAAATCAACATGATATAGAAAAATGTTAGTTACATGCAAATAAGTAGTTAGAATTTCATCTAGTGCCAATATTCCACCTTTGTGTGCCAATCCACCCCGCAGGATGAGCCTTGTTTCACACAGAGGTACTTCTTGCAAAGTGAGCACCAGATGTTGCTCTTCACCTTCTTGCATGGATTGTCTTTGTAAGACACTCCAGGATTTTGCTTGTTGTACCTAGAGTGCTTTTCCATGCACACAACACAGATATGATTAGACGATGTCCCAGGGGAAATCTCTGGAAAATGATTGCCTGGGGTCATCCGTTGAGGGCAGGATTCCTTTTGTGGGGGGTGGGGGTCTGATGTCCTGTATCCACCAATAAGTTTCAGGCACAGTTTCTGAATATATCTGGTGAAATAAACTGCCTTTTTTGAAGCAGCTTGCTTCTTTGAATCATACAAGATATAAGAATTATAACTGGACCATATAAAAAATTTTATGAAAAGCCGCCGGGGCCAGCAGTAATGACGACGAGACTGGTGAAGGCGGGTCATCTGGTCATTTTTGTCACAGCTACCCATAAATTTATTATAGTCCTTCATCAGCTGTGGCATCTATATTTCTTGCACACTGCCATCTTTATTTATTGTTTATTACTACATTTTTGGCTTGATCGTGGTAGTTTGAAATAAATGTGATGGGCTTTCTATCCTGCCAAACCAAACATGTTACATTTTCTTGATATAGATAGCGACTGTCACCCCTAGCAAGTTTTTTTTTTTTTTTTTTACACTTTTCAGCGACTTAGGAAACTGCTTCCTGTTTTGCTGCAGGGTTCCCACAATTCCTGTGTGTAATTCTGACAGTGCATATTTAGCAAGGGTTACAGAGTTGTAGAACTGGTTCATGACAAGAACATGAGATTTATTTTACATTGCACATGAGGTCAGGAGATGAACAACTGTATTTCCTACTGCACCCAAGTCTTTTATAGGCATTGATGCAGCACCAGTGTAGATTTCTGCATTCAAAATGTAGCCAGTCTCACCTTCACAGAGAAGGAAAGACTTGATGTCCCACTTTGTGGGCTTATCCTTGATATACTGCTTGATGGCCAAGCATTTTTTTGTCAGGATCATTCCCTCCTCTAGGCTCAAATGTTGGTTTGGCAGATAGAATTGGAGAAACTTGGGGAGCAGATTTTCCAAAAAAGGCCTAACCTTATATATTCTGTCTTATCAATATCTTTGTCTTCCTCATGAATAATGTTTAAAAAACTCCAAAGGGCCAAGAATCTGTCTCAAGTCATAACATTTCAAAATCCAGGAGTAAACCCAACAAAGTCAGAGCCCTCATTTGCCCAATAATTCCAATAGCTGGGCTTTATACATAAGTATTCTATATAGATCCTCAGTCCAAGAAAAGCCTTCATCTCTTCCACTGTGGCATCCTTCAAATTTTTGGCATTGTAGGAGTTGGGCTTTGCTATATGCAATTGGTGGGCACAAAGGTTGTTTTTCTCTGTCAAATTTTGCCAGACAGTATCATCCAAAAACAAGGATAAAAAGATCAATTGGTTCACTCTCCTCTGTGATAGATCCAGGAATGTTCACTGGGCATTTTCCATCCTCATTTAAATTCAGATCTGTATTTGGTGATACAAAATTCCTTGTCCAACCTTCATCACCACCTAGATCTCCCTCATCAGCTGTTTGAGGGACATGCCCCGTTCTCTTACTATCAATCTAGCTCTACATCTATAAGGTTCAAGATTCTCCTCATCACTCGAGTTCTGTCTGTGTCACTTGAACTGGAAACGCATTCTTGATAAAATTCTGATTCCTCAGAGTTTAAATCAACCAAAGTATCCATCACCTGTTGGACTGTGATAAGTATAGACCTACTTTGCTTTCCTGTTGAAGTGCTTGGTTCATCAGTTGCTCATTTCATTATGAATTTTCAGAATTTTTTCCACATCAAAGCACATAAACTCAATTCAAACACATGGGGGCAGACATTTGCAATGGCTAACCATGAGGTTTGGCCACAATTGGTTGGTTATTTTTAGTTTGTGATACTGTTGTTTTTTTGTTGTTGTTTTTTTGTTTTGTTTTTTGTTTTGTTTTGTTTTTCACGTACTAGGCAGAGTACCGAAAATTAGGTACAGCGGTATAGTGGCAGATTCAGAAATTACCGAAAAATTGGTATAGAGGTCTGGTAGGGTTAAGGCTACAAAGTTTCAATTATAGAAGGTAAATCAATCCCCTGCCACCATGGAGTGAGCAGAAGGATTTGCTCCACTGCAGGCTACAAAGTTTCAATTGTAGAAGATAAATAAATCCCAGATACCAGAGCCTCAGCTTGGGTTGCCGGGGGGTGTGGCCAGCCCACAAACCACCACAGGCCCATCACCCAGGCCACCCCATGCCCCAAGGGAATCCCGACTCTGATCCGGGACACCCTTCAGGGCAAACCAGCTGGCCCCCACCCATGCACCAGGCCTCTATCCTATATAATAAAAGAGTAATATGCAGATTGACCATCTCTTCAACATACAAGATGGCTGCCCCATGTGGTCAAAGATCCTTCCCCCACATGGACACAAGATGGCCACCACAAGATGGCCAGCAGGGGAGGGCAGTTGGGAGGGACCAGGCCTGCCAAGGAGGGCAGTAGGGGATAATCAAGCTTGCAGGGGAGGGCAAGTTAGGGGTGACCAAGCCATCAGAGGAGGGAAGTTGGGGGAAAACAGGCTGGCAGGGGAGCAGTTATACAATAATCAAGCTGGCAGGAGAGTGCTTAGGGGGGGATTATGTTGGCAGGCAGAAGTGGTTAGGGGCAATCAGGAAGGCAGGCAGGCAAGCAGTTGGGAGCCAGCAGTCCTGGATTGTGAGAGGGATGTCCGACTGCCCATATAGGCCTGAACCCTAGAGGGGTCCCAGATTGGAGAGGGTGCAGGCTGGGCTGAGGGACCCCCCCATGCACGAATTTTGTGTACCAGGCCTCTAGTCTATAATAATAAAAGTGTAATGTGCTAATTAGGCCAGACAGCCAAATGACCTTCCAGACATCCTTCCAGATGACTTTCCAGATGAAGCCGGATCTGCAAGGGCCAAGCCCCTTGCAGAATTTCATGCATCAGGCCTCCAATAATTAATAAATAATAATACAAGAATAAACTGTTTCATGTACACTCACAACTGTAAACCTACTTTGTCCCATCCTGTATTATGATTCACAAAGCAGGAGCCTAGTGAATTGTAACAAGCACTCCAGGTATGAAATTTAAGCATGCTGCACTTTAGAAGTGCTGTCCTAAAAACCAAAAATATATCAACCAAATATATGTATGTAAGGCAATCAGAAAATAAAGTCATTAAATTTTTTTTCACTAGATGCCCCTTTGAAATACTGAGAAAATTTGTAATATGGCTTTATCTTGGGAATAAAATGTATTTTAAAATAGTCAACACTTGTTACATTAATGTTAACATCTTTTTGAAATACTGAAATAGCTATGGCTAGTTCTGGTTTGGAATACATATCTATTTAATACTATATTCAATATTCAAATAATCTTGATTATGGACATGATTAATGGGAAAATCAAATTCAACACTTCATCTCAAGGGGCTAAAGAAAATGTATACTGTTTGTATTGCCAATGAAAAAAAAATGTACATTTTTTTGTAATTAAAAAGTTGGCATACATAATTTCACTAAAGTTTTTTTCTTCTTATGGTAATACCTCTTCTCTGTTTGGTAATTCTTTGACCCTCCCAAAAGTTACCTTCTGTGACCCTCTACTTTCATGATCCCTTTCTTTGTTGCATCATTATCATTCTTTGTTTTTCCAAATCACTCTATTTTTCCTCATTGTGTGTTTTATAGGGTAATTCATTGTTATATATCTTTCTTTCCTGCTAGATTGTAAACTTCTCCAGGGCAGAAAACATGGTGTAATTACTTTTGTGAACTGAATTCTTAACTTAGGAGACATGGCCATAATTTGAAATCTGTAACCAAAGGACATCAAACGAGTTTTGTTTTGTGAATATAATTCAAGACTTCATCAGGCACTTTCCCCTTACAATAATAAATTAAAGATATATGCATCCTAATAATTTATGTTGATGACTGAATAAGTGACTTTTCAAAACATGGCTAGATTTTTTTGAAAATTGATAAATCTAACAAATAATTAATCCCATTTTAATTTTTTAAATTTATCTGTATTGTTGAATGTATTACAGATATCCTTCTTTTTTCCCATTAACCCCCTCCACCTTGCGCCCACCCCTCCCAGGCCTTTATCACAGTATTTTCTGTGTCCATGGGCTATGCATAAATGCATATCAATTCCCTGGTAAATCTTTCCTACTACCCACCCTCACCTTCCCTCTGAGTTCCATCACTCTGTTCCATACTTCTATGTCTCTGTCAGAGAAAGATATGTATCATATCATTACAGAAGGCTAGAGAAAAACCAAACAATGATTAAAAAAAGGGAGTTACATTTTATTATTAAATTCTGTGCAGGACCAGAGAAAAATGTGCCTTTCAAATTCTGGGCCCCACAACATAGAGAAAACTTTTTCTATTTATACTTTTTCTAGATCTTTGTCTCCCAAATTTGCAATGAGGCTTCCAGGCCTTCTGGGAAAGAAGGCCTGTGTGCTGGGAAGGAGCCCTGCGACCATATCTCAAGGCTTGGCCTGATGCCAGCACTGACAACTTTGTCTGGGGCATAGTTTATGGCCTCTCTGGAATGGGAGTAGTCTTATTTTCATTACGATTTAAGCAAGCAAGCATTTACAGAAGCAAAAATAGCAGGGTTAAAATTTTAAACAGCAGTTTTTATATAAGATTGATGCTTCAATATGATCTCACTCATTTAGAATCTAATGAACAAAATAAACTGATGAACAAAATAGATTCAGAGACATCATTTCCTATTTTTAGATTGTGAGGTACTAATGAAGAAAAAAAAAAGCCCCATATAACAACTACCTAGGATAAAGTGATGATTAGATAAATATTTTACTTTCTTAATTCTAATAAGTTAGTGTTTAATAATATGGCATTTTTGTCAGCTTAAATTTTCTCTAAGATGCTTTGTCTGATTCTGCTAGGTAATGCTAGCATTCATAAATTAGGCAATGTTATTGTTGTTAGGGAACATAAATAGTTAACTTCTATTACAATCAATTTTTAAAAAATAATCTAGCATATAATTTTATTTGTGAGTGTGCTACACACTTTAAGCTGAACAAAATCTCAATATATATATTATGTAAAACATTATGATTATAACTAGTCTATGTCTAGAATGTGTGAGTCTGTACTACTCAGATGCCACTCCAATTTAGTGCTACATTATTCTGTGGAAGAGGTCAGCCAGGAAATAGGCCAGGGCCTTTTAAAAATCCCAGTGTTCAGCCAATTCTATTAGCTCCAAGTGCTTTGCTCTTTTCCTCTGTGAATATACATCAGCTTGGGATAATAGGTCTAATTTTCAAAAGGCTGCATTTGATTTATTTATTTTGGAAATTCAGCTTTCAGCCTGGAAAACAACAACCCATGATTGTTTATAATTGCCAGATTCCCCACACCAAACTGGCACATGGAATTACAAAATATTTATCTTAGAGTCTGATTACTGAAGCACATTTTAAATAATGAATTGTGAAGGAGAACTAACATTTTCTTCCCATTATCCTGAAGATAGGAAGTAAGTTTATAGAATCTTAGTTAAGGGACTAAATATTCTGATTTTTTAAAAGCCTGCTTTAGTAGATTTAATGCTGGGTTTACTTCATGAAAGTGACTTTACTTCATGTATATATGATTTGAAAATCAAAAACAGAAGCAGGCAGTTTTTAAATGTATTGAGCAAGGAAGTAGCAAAATACTTATAACTAATTAGATCAGCAACATTACAAAACCTTGCTCATAACGTGCACAGAAATCCTATGCTATGGTCAAATAATATCATTGCCCATACTGAATCCACACTAGCCTTTTAAAAGTTCTTCAGAATTTAAAAGATAAAGGATAATTTTGTAAAGGTTAAGTCATGATGGACATAAAATATAATATGAACATGTGTCAAAGATTTTATTTAACTTATTAACTAATGAAAGAACCGGAAAGATGTTATTGACTCAAGGTAAATAAAAAAAAAAAAAAACAGTAATAGCCGAAACCGGTTTGGCTCAGTGGATAGAGCGTCGGCCTGGGGACTGAAAGGTCCCAGGTTCGATTCCGGCCAAGGGCATGTACACTGGTTGTGGGCACATCCCTAGTGGGGGGTGTGCAGGAGGCAGCTGGTCGATGATTCTCTCTCATCGATGTTTCTATCTATCCCTCTCCCTTCCTCTCTGTGAAAAATCAATAAAATATATTTTAAAAAACCAGTAATAATAGCTCATTAAATTAATTTAAAAGTAGATTCTGTCTTTTTGCACAGAGGGAAGGGGAAATCAACGTTCTCTCCAATGGACAGAATGTATTTGCATATGGAAAATATTTTCAGTTATTTAAATTATCTACAACTTAAAATTATAAAATAATTCAAAGACAATGAAAGGTGGAAATACCCTTGATGGATAAACTCAACAGAACATCCACTAATTCTTTTTTGTTTGTTTGTTTGTTTCTTTTGATCTTTCATATTTTTTTCTGACAATAGAATCTGTATATACATGAATGGTTAATTTCATTAAGGTGATCTAAGGTTTCCATTCTTCAAATATAGTTCTTAGATATTGCTATTGTAATTTACATATATATTGTTAATTTTGTGTGTATGGTTAATTTACAGGACAAGCTCCAGTTCTTGTGAGTGAATGGTAGGAGAACTAGGAGAACTTCTTAAAATCCTTTAAAGAAGAACCCTTCTGTGGTAGGTGGAATTCAAAGATGGTTCCCACCGTTCCTATCCTCTGATATACATATCCTGTGAAATAACTCCCTTGATTATGGATGGGCTTTGTGAATATGATTGCAAAGGGATTTTGCAGGTGTTGTTTTTGAGTGAATAAAAATGGAGATTATTCTGGGTAGGCCTGACGTAGTCAGGTTAGCTTTTGAAAGAGATAAGAAGCAACAGACATGCTCCTGCTGGCCTTGAAGATGGCCACCATGAGTTCAAGAGTTGCAAGAAAATGCAGTTCTTCAATACCAGGTAATCTTGGAAGAGCACCTAGAGCTTCAGCACCTTGTTCAGCACCTTGATTTCAGCCTAGTGAGATGATGATTAGAGAAACCAGCTAATCTGTGCCCAGACTCCTGATCCATGGAAATAAATGGTTGTTTCTTTAAGCTGCTAAATCTGTGGTACTTTGGTCGACAGCAGTAGAAAACTAATACACTTACTCTTTAATCTAAAAATATTTCCCTCTCCCCAACTTAAAAAATGGATATGTATAATTATATAAGCAAGGAAGCAAACAAACAAGGAAAAAACCTCACAGGAATAATTTGAAGTCTTGGTTATCAGAACTTCATATTGAACAACAGTTGACCCTTATCCAATTAAATACAGATAATAAGAACACTGGAAAAGCATGCACGTTATTATTCTTTTTGTTTTTGTCTTTGTGATAATAAAAATAATACAGGTTTATTTTAGAAAATTTGGAAACCACAGCAAGGCACAACAATAACATTTTACATCAGTTTTGTTTCTATGTATATTTTTCATGCACTGATTTGTAGTTCTTAGAATAGTGCCTGGTACATAGTAGATGCTAAAATAACATTTAGTAAACATGAAACAGATAGGATGAATATATTAAAAAGTTGAGTTTTTATTATTATTTAAGGATATTTTATAGTCCTAATTTTTATTACTTTCTCTAGCTCAAAGATGGTTAGCATAATTCCTAAAGAAGTAGTTAGCAATGAACTGCACAGTATGCTATGTACAGTAGAATACCTGAGAATAACTCACAAAGTCTGTAGCGTCTGTTTCTTGCTCATTGTGATTTCTTTCCTTTCCATTTTTGTTAAATAGACTTTTATCTGTAATATCAAAAACTGTTTCAATGAGCTATAATTCATATTCTTTGATTCACCCATAGAAAGTTATAATTTTGCCCACCTGTGTGGCTTAGTGGTTGAGCATCCACTCATGGACCAGGAGGTCACAGTACAATTCCTAGACAGGTCATATACCTGGGCTGTGGGCTTGATCCTCAGTGGGGACATGGAGGAGGCAGCTGATCAATGATTCTCTCTCATCATTGATGTTTCTATCTCTCTCTTCCCCTCTCTTCCTCTCTCTGAAATAAATAAAAAAAAAACATAAAAAATAAAAGTAGAAAGTTACAATTTCAGTGGCTTTTAGTATATTGATAGTTGTGCAACCATCATTATAATTTGTTATATTTTAATTAAAATAATATATTTTATTTACTGTTAATGTAGGTAGGCTCTTATTATTTCTGCAAACCCACTATTGTGACTGGAAACTAATGATTTGTATGTACTAAGAATTTAGCTTTATTATAGCATTAGTATATCTAATATAAGTTGAAATTGTTTTCCTTAAAGTGTATATAGTCCTTACAGTGGAATATTATTAGACAATAAAAAAGAATGAAGTTTTAATACATGCTACAACATGGATGAACATTGAAAACATCATGCCAAGTGATAGAAGCCAATCACAAAGACCATGCATATAATTCCATTTAATCATATATATGAAATATCCAGATAGACAAATCCTCAGAGATGGGAAGTAGATTAGTGGTTGCCAGGAACCATGGAAGGGTAAATAAGGAATGACTGCTAATGAATACAGGGTTTCTTCTGGGGCCCTGACAGGGCCCTGGTGATGAAAATATTCTTTAATTAAATTATGGTGATGACTAGGTTATTGTACAACTTTGTGAATGTATTAAGAAAGACTGAATTGTATAATTTAAATAGGTGAATTTTATATATATAATATCTCACTGCAGCTGTTAAAATATATTTGGGTGGGCATGAGTCATTACTTCTAATTGAACACAATAAAAGCTGATTATTTTAAGAGACAAATTTTTAAAAAGAGTTATAGCTATATTTAAACATTAACCAAATCACAAAAATAATTTTGTTTCTTATACTTGTTTATTTAAAAATTTTATATTAAAGCCCTAGCCAGTTTAGCTCTGTGGATTGAGCATCAGCCTGGAGTCCTAAGGGTCCCGAGTTGATTCCAGTCAAGGGCACATGCCTGGGTTGGGGGCTTAATCCCAAATGTAGAGTGTGAAGGAGGCAGCTGATCAGTGATTCTCTCTCATCATTGATGTTTCTATCTTTCCCTCTCATTCCTTTCTGAAATCAATAAAAAGATATTTAAAATGATTTATTTTAAAAATGTGATTACTGGTGATTTCCATAAAACATTTAAGGCAGAAATAATATGCATTCTACAAAAACTTCCAGAAAATGGAAGTGAGGAACCTCTTTTCAACTTATTCTATGAGGCCAGCATTACTGTAATACCAAAACCAGAAGACATTACAAAGAAAAAAAACTATTGACCAATATCCCTCAGGTACCTAAAAAAGGAATCAATGTAATTTATCATACTAACAAATTAATACAAATAATCACATATACATTGGCAAGGATATGAAGGAATTGAATTATAACCATGCTAGTGGAAATGTAAAATGTACAGCCACTTGGAAATGAGTATGGCAGTTTCTTAAAAAGTTCAATGCACCTTATGATCCATCCATCCCATCTCCATGGATTTACTGAAGAAAAACACATATGCCTATACAAAAAATTGTACAGGAATGTTTAGAGCATCTTGTGTGGCAGCCAAAAAGTTGGAACAACCCAGATACTTATTAACAGATGAATATTAATTGGTGTATGTCTCTACCACGGAATACTTATAATAAAGAGGAATGAACTGTTGATACAACCTGAATGGATCTCAAAACAATTTTGCTGAATAAAAGAAGCCAGCCCAAAATAACACATACTCATTATTACATTGGTACAAATTGTAAGAATACAAATTAATCTATATTGATAGAAAGCAGATCAATTGTTGTTTGAGGAAGAGGAGAGGAGAAAGGGGTGGGAAAAAGTGATTACCAAGCCACAAGAGAAAACTTTGGGGGTGATAGATATATTCATCATTCTGATTTTGGTGATGTTTTTACATGTATAGGCATATGTTAAATTTCAGAATTGTGTACTTTGTAAATTTTTATATCTTGATTTTAGAGAGAGGAAGGAAGAGAGAGAGAGAGAGAGAGAGAGAGAGAGAGAGAGAGAGAGAGAGAGAGAGAGATTTGTTGTTTCACTTATTTATATCAATACATTCATTAGTTGATTCTTGTATGTGCTCTGAACAAGGATTTAACCCACCAGGGATTTAACCCACAACCTTGACATATTGGGACAATGCTCTAACCAACTAAACTACTTGACTTGGGTAACAAGTTGTTTACTTTTTTTGTTGTTGTTTTAATCCTCATCGGTGGATATTTTTTCATTGATTTTTTTTTTCCAGAGAGAGAGAGAGAAAGTGGAAGGAAGGGAGAGACACATGGCTTGGTTGCTTCCCACATGCGCCCTGACAGGGCCCTGGATTCAGCCTGAAAGTCAGATTTTACCTGAATCAAACCTGACCCTTCAGGTTTGGGCTGATGCTCTATCCAGTGAGCAAAATTGGCTAGGGCCAAATTGTGTACTTTAGAGATATACAGTTTATTTTATTAATTTTCTTCAGTAAAACCTCAATAAGCAAAAAGAAAAAAAAGTGTGATTAACTTCACCATCCTTATTGGAATCTGTAGTAATAATAATCTTACTTAAAAATGATATATTGATGGCAAGCCAAAGTGATTTTTCTCCCTACTTCCTGGAATAATAACTGAACATATACACAAATCAATAAATTAAAGAACTTTAAACATAGAACTACAGACCTTAAATAATTTTAAACTCGTATAATCCATGTGCTAATGATGATATAAGTGCAGTAAATTAAGCAAAACTTTCCTATTTCTGAGTGCTTAAAATTAGGGTTCTTATCAGAATACACATGCAAACCCCTCTTCCCATTTATGGAGTTATTTTGAAATGTACCAATCTATTTTCCCAGTCATTTTAGGTATGCCTTCTTGATGCGGGAAGGTTATAACTTTTTCTCTGATGTGTTGGAAAACCATTCCATAGCTAGTTTTCATATTAGCAAAGAAAAGAATTGTGACAACAAATGAATAATTCTAAAAGTATGTACAATAAATGAGTATCAGATTAGTAGGGCTTAATGTAAGTGCTTATCCTTGACATTTTTCTATCTAATATTCTCAATACAAAGTTTAGATTTTAGTCATGATTCCACTTCAAGCTAACTGCTTAGTTTACAGAGTTCATGATTTACCATCCTATAAATTATAATACTGTGCTTGTAGTGATAGTATTGGAGAAGCAACCAATCACACAGCCTTTACATTATTCAGTAGATTACAAAGGGGGAGGGACTTTCTAATTTCTGAGGCAGGGAATATTTATGAGCATTTTTTACTGGGAGCCCTGAAATATGGTACTTTGAAAAGGTAGGTATAACTAGTCTTGCATTTAGATTTATGATTTCTTATGTATTTGAGGGTTATATAAAATAAATTACCCATGTTTAAAATCCTGAAAATATGAAGTTAGAAGGAAGTGACCACGTATTTATGAATTTGTCAATACAATTTAATTTGTGAATTACTTTTGTACCCAAATACAGTCATTAAAATGTTTGTTCTTAAGGACCAGAAACCTTGGGTCAAGACAGAAGGAAACAATTCCTTGCATATTTCTCAAATTACACTTTGTATCCTTTCAGTATAAAAATTATAGGAGACCTTAATTTGTTTTTAAATATAAACATCAGGTGTATGCTGTGCTCATGGCACTGATAAATCAAGTAAAATCCTATTTTTGTCTGCATTCTGACTAACTTAGGCAATATCAAAGCTTTCTTTTCATTCAGATTTCTCTAGAAAAAGTTGGCTGCACAATCCTGTTCAGATTACTGTGGCCTGAAAAGTTAATATAGACTATCTTTTCTATAAATATGATTTGATGTTGATTTGAAATAGAGGAAGAGAAAGTAAGATTCTTGATTTTAAAAAGTATAGGTGAGGAAAGATTTGGGATAGAGAGAAAGACAGTGGAGAAGAGATTGAAAATAGATTGAGCAACAGTTGATGGAGTCAGATCCTAAAAAATTAAAGAAGTGGGATCAAAATTGTGGCAGACTTTGAAAAGAAATAGGAGCACCTCTTCCTCTGAAATAGGAGAAAGGAAAAGATCAGTTATAACAAACAACATAAATTGGCTCACTCAACACTCACCCCAACAGACTTCCTGCTGAAATCTTTATTTCTCTTCCTTGTAATGAGACCTAGCAGAAGGAAGTGAGCAATATGTAGTAGTGGCCACATATAGGGAGGCTGGACTACTGTCAAATATACTGGACTAGAGCACAGAATGGAAAATGCTTACCCAAGATCCATTTTACTTCTTGCTTCTTTTCTCTTTCTCCTTCTCTTTCCCCTCCCCTCCTCCTCATCCCCTTCCTCCTCCTCCTCTTTCTCCTCTTCCTCCTCCTCCTCCTTCCTACTACTAACAGAGACCCAACTTTAGGGGTGCATTTACCAATCTCATTGGCACATAGCCATGACTATATTTCACACTTCTGGTCAATTGTACAAAGAAGAAATTGTTGCTTATAACTTCTGAAGATGCTGCTTAAAAGGGATACGTGAGCTGATAGGAAACATAGCCATACCCTATGGTTGGTGGTGAAACATACTACTCCTGGATAGGTCACATCTGGACTTTACACCAGAAAAAAACCACACACAAACACACACACACACACACACACACACACACACACACACACACAATGTGTTGGTGCCCCTGAATTAGCATGGATTATCTCAATGAATTTTTATAACAACATTATGAGATAAGAACTGCAATTACTCCCATTTTGCAAATGAGGAAACAAAAGTTCATAGTTGCCCAAGATCATTCAGCTAGTAAATGACACAGCTGGACTGTAAGCCTAAGTATGTTAGATTCCAGAGAGTATGTTCTCATAAGTGCATGTTTCCCTGCTTCCTTGCTATCTCCTGTGCTGTTTTCAGAGACATAGGTCACATGCTCTTCCTAATAGTTTTTTTAGCATGCAGGTAAAGGTGCCACTTCACGTAGCAGTGAAGAGGAAATGCATTGAGAATACAGTATGAAAAAGACTCAAGAAAGCAGGAAATAGCTGAGTTGAGGCAGCAGAGAAGTCCCCTCCATTCCATAGGATTCACCTGGAAATTCTGAGCAAATGGCAGCTGTAATAAATTGCATTTCACCAGGAAGTTGTGTTATAATACATCAAAGATAAATTCTTTTCTTAAACAATTGTATTCTTGCTAATGTAGTCTTCTGGAAAGCCTGTCATTTCCAGGAGTCTCCAAAGGGAAACTATAGATCAACACTTGAAATTGTCTGCACAGCTAATGAGCTGATGCAGGATGCTGTGGGCAATCTAAAGAACCTTTAAGTTACCTCTTACAAAGTTTAAGGAGGCTTTACTTTCTATGTTTTTGTGAGCTTCTCAAGATTTAAAAAAAAGTAAAAATAGTTTATTGAAACACCAACCAATGGTAATTATCCCATAGACAATATTTATCAGATGCCTTTTAGGTCAAGTCTTTCAAAATGAGGCATAATGTGGATTTAATTGCAATTTAAGGCAGATTATGGGAAACCAGTAGTGAGTACTTGTGCTTCAGCCTCCTTCTACTTGGCCAGAAGAAACTGGGGACAAAAGGGAAAATAAAATATAATTAGAAAAAGACTACTATCTTCCTCCTACTGTGTATCCTTAAAGTTACTATCTATTGTCCTCTGCACACACATTTTTACTCAAATACCTTGACTTTCTCTTAATAAAGAATTGTCTAAAGTTAAAAAGTTCACTTATGCCGAAACCTGTTTGGCTCAGTGGATAGAGCGTCGGCCTGCAGACTGAAGGGTCCCGGGTTTGATTCCAGTCAAGGCATGTACCTTGGTTGCGGTCACATCCCCAGTAATGGGTGTGCAAGAGGCAGCTGATCAATGACTCTCTCTCATCGATGTTTCTAACTCTCTCTCTCCCTTCCTCTCTGTAAAAAATGAATAAAAATATTATTTTTAAAAAAAGTTCACTTATTTCTCACAAGTGTTAATATCCTCCGTTTACAGATGAAGAAACTGAAGGACAGAGAGGTTAAGACTCTTAAACACAGTCATACGGCAAATAGCTGGTGGGGCTGGGATTATGAATTCAGGCACTCTGGTTCCAATGTTCATGCTATTTTCCACACTTTCTAAGCAGAAAATTTGGTCAGAAGAAATTCATGATTAAGACAAGAGTATTTGATAAACTACAGTCTAAGGCCGTGGTCGGCAAACTGCGGCTCTAGAGCCACATGAGGCTCTTTGGCCCCTTGAGTGTGGCTCTTCCACAAAATACCACAGCCTGGGCGAGTCTATTTTGAAGAAGTGACATTAGAAGAAATTTAAGTTAAAAAAAATTTAGCTCTCAAAATGAATTTCAATCGTTGTACTGTTGACTAATGAGTTTGGCTCTGTTGACTGAAGTATGGCTCTGTTGACTAATGAGTTCGCCAACCACTGGTCTAAGGTATGGAAAAGATTCAGACTGATAAAATTAGTTCAAATGTAACAGCAGAAAGAGAGGGAGAGGGAGAGGGAGGGGAGAAGAAAAGGGAGAGAGCGAGGAAGGAGAGAGAGGGAGATAAGAAAGAAAGATGAGAGAGAGAGAAAGAGAGAGAGAGAGAGAGAGAGAGAGAGAGAGAGAGAGAGAGAGAGAGAGAGAGAGAGAGAGAACATAAGAGAGAACATGATTACAGAATCCTTGGGGAGAAAAAGAAACCCTAGACCAGTGGTTCTCAACCTTGCTAATGCCACGATCCTTAAATACAGTTCCTCATGTTGTGGTGAACTCCAACCATAAAATTATTTTGGTTGCTACTACATAACTGTAATTTTGCTATTGTTATAAATTGTAATGTAAATATCTGATATGCAGGATATGTTTTCATTGTTACAAATTGAACATAATTAAGGCATAGTGATTAATCACAAAAACAATATGTAATTATATATTGTGAAATATTTATTTCTAATTACAAATAAATGAAATTTTGTCTTGAAGCATGGTGTAGCATGGGTAACAGTCTTAATATAACAACAGTAAACTACATTGCTACATTTTTGCGACAGTATGTCAGTGCGAAGATTGAGATTGCTTCTTTCTCACCAGATCAGAAATTCTCGGGACAGTCTTTGCAAGAGCACAACGATGATCATCTTCCAGAACAAATCTACTTCTGTATTTAGACTTGATATCCAACAAACTGGAAAACCCTCTTTCACAAAGGTATGTTGTTGGAAATGGAAAAAAAAAAAAGAGGCACAAAACATCTCAGACAGAACAGGATATGGATTGCAAACACTTGATCCAGAATTTTGTAACTGACATTGTAGAGAAATCAGTTCTCACTGCATCACTGTTAGTAAGTTCAATGAACTCCTCTTATGCTGTCACAGGAACATCTTCATCTTTGACTGTGAATGGGCTTCTGGCAAGTGCAAATGGGGTATCAGGTAGATTTGGAAAGTACTATGAAATTCCATCTGTAAGCATATACAAGTGTTCTTTCACAAAAATTCTCATCATAATTCTTTTGTCTGGTTCAATGTCATGTTCCTCAAAGAAAGCAGATAAGGTAGGCAACATGTAAATTATATTTATCCAATTTTTTTTTTTTTTTTTGCCAAAGCTGAAGTTTCATTTGCAATGATTGGATCATTTCAGACAAATCAAGGCATGTTGCATTTGGTTCTTGCAGTGATAAATTTAACTCATTCAAGATGGCAACCAAGTAAGCTATTTTCTGCAGTTCACTTTTATCGCTGAAAAGTGCTTCGAACTGAAGTCTTGCTTTCTGATTAAAAAACATTTGGAGTTCATCATGAAGCTCAAAATCACGTTTTAAAACTTTTCCTCTTGAGAGAGGAGACAAGATGGCGACCGAACAGACGGACTTGTTCTGACCCTGGTCCCAGAACAGATAGAAGCAGCGTCTGAGTCACTCAGGGAATATTGATTGGCAGCTAAGGGGCAGCGGAACTCTAAAGGAAGGTAAGGAAGGGTCCGCTGGATAGGATTTCCTGACCGAGCAGCTAGCACTGCGGCGGTGGTGACCTCTCCTGGAGCTATGGGCTCAGAGGGAAGGCTGTACCATCTTACCAGGAAAGGAGGATCTTCTCTGAGGCCTGGAAAACCCACAGCAGAGGAGACCATTGAGCAGCTGTGACACCCCAATCGGCGCAAACACGTGGATTCAAGGGAGTTCTTCAATCACCCACGGAAAGGTCAGAGTTTTCGGGGATAGCGTGAAGGTTCTGGGTCCCTGCTGTGCCGGCAGCAACTACAGCCGCTGCGCACCCCGCACCAAGCTGCGCTGAAAGAAGGCTGTGGCTGCAGCGAGAATCCTGCCTGGGGAGACCCAGTGCTGGGTTTGGTGTAATCTTCCCCAGAAGTGGGACTCTTTTAAAACGCCAAGGGACATGAAACAGATTGTTAAAAATCAAGGCTGTCTGACCGGCGTGGACACGCAAATTCCACAGAAAGGTTGGATTTTGCTGGGGATAACGTGGGGTGTCTGTGTCCCAACAGCGAAAGTGAAAGCGGCAGCTGCAGCAACTGCGTGGCCTCTGGGGCGGCAGAGAAAAAAAAAAGCGCCCGCTGGGACCCCGGAAATCTGCGTCCACAGAAGCCCCCCCCACTGTTGGGTCTGGCATGATTCGAGAGAGTGGACGGGGGTCCCCAAGGTTGCTACTAGTGGGGTTCTCTAGGGAGCAACCCATTCTGATCCGACACGGTGGGAGAACAGAGGAGTTGGAAAGCAGTCTGTTTGTAAGTGCGCGCAGACTCACCCATCGTGCACCTAGGCTGGTTCCTCTGCAACACTGATTCTAACTACAAAGGAGAGATCACCCAGATTGGCTGACCCTAAGAGACAGCAGGGGGGAAATGCTTTTCTGAAAACTGAGAAACAGAGCAGGGAGAAATCATCCAGGATTCAGCTCTGAGGCAAAAAATATAAAAAACAAACAAACAATCAAACAAACACCAGTATTGAGTGCCACAGAAAAAGAAGGCTAGAGCAGCCAAAAAGAAGGGACATCAATCCACATACACTGCCACCTAGGGTCTGGAGTACAATCTGACTGTGTTTATTATTAGTTTTATTTGATCAAAAAACCAAGAAACAAAGGAATCGCCACTGAGGTGCAGCAGAATGCAGGGAACTGCAATACGGTCTGGACTGAGAAACGGGTGTGTCAAATAGAATAACAGAAGTGAATAGCCTTCACAACTGCACATTATTTTTGCTAAATTTTTTTTAATTTTCATTTTTTTTGCATCTTTTACTTAAGAAACAATTTTATTCCCCTTTTTTTCCTCACTAGATTTTAACTTTTTAATTATTACATTTTTAGGTTCAATAAGCATTTTTACTACTGCTATTTTAATTTTTTTAAGTGCCATTTTATTTTCTCTTTATTTTAAATTGGAATTAGTGTTCTTCATTTTATTTTCATTTCTCCTTTAACATTGTTTAACCCTAACTCAACACGACCTTTACACCATCATTCTCTTTCTACCCTTCCCCCTTTTGCTATTCTGTTTATCATAACCCTTTCCTGCTTTAGATTTCCTTACTCTTTCTGTATCCCCCATGCTAAAATTTCTACCCTAATTATATATTTAATTTCCAATCCCCATGTGCCAAGTGCATACACACCCCTCTCTGAGCTGTATTAACTAGAGGAAAAAAATTGTTTTCCTCACGGTTCTTTCGATGCTGTTTGGGGGAATGATGATTATATTATTTTTTTTTGCTTTTTAGTGAGAGTATTTTGCTTATTCTTTTGTTGTTGCTGTTGCTCAGAATTTTCTTATTTGATTGGTTTTTGTTTGCTGTTATTTTATTACTTCTGTTTTCCCTTCCTGTGCTGGAAATTAGGGGATGTTGTACAATAGATTGTATTATTCTCCAGGTACTGCTGACAGCATTTGTTGGAGTTAGTGGTTGTTCAATTGAAATTCTCTCCCCATATATATAGTTTATTCCTCTTCTCTCTCTCTCTCTCTCTCTCTCTCTCTCTCTCTCTCTCTCTCTCTCTTTTCTCCCTGTTTCCCAAATTCATTTTGACACTCTTTTTCCTATCTTTTTCTTTTGCTCCCTCCCTCTCTCTTTTTACTCTTCCTCTTTCTCTCCTATTCCCTAATTTGCCTTTCCCTAGTGGTTACCTTTATTGGAAGTTATTAATATTGCAAACACATTTCTGTTCAGTGCCTTGTGTGTTGTACCTGGTTGTGTTGTATTTTGTGCCTTTAAATCAACACAGGAGAGATAAATCAATGCAGGAGAGAGACATTCTGAAAAGAGAGACCATGGGGAGACAAAGAAACAGCCCACAAATGAAAGAAAAGCAGCCATCACCAGAAAAGGAAGTAAACGAGTTAGAGGCAAGCAACCTACCAGAGTAAGAATTCAGAGTAATGATCATAAGATGGCTAAAATGAATGGAAGACAAATTCAACAATATGAGTAAGACCCAAGAAGAAATGAAGAAAAACCAAGAGGAAATGAAGATGACTCAAGAAGAAATAAAAAATGATATCACTACTATGAAGAACTCAATAGAAAACATCAAGAGCAGACTAGAAGAAGCAGAGGACCGCATCAGTGAGCAAGAAGACAAGATGGAAAAAAATACCCAATTAGAGCAGCTTCTAGAAAAAAAAAATTAAAAAGCAGGAGGAGAGCCTACGGGAGCTTTGGGGCAATGTAAAACAAAACAATATTTGAATAATAGGGGTTCCGGAAGGAAAGAAAACTGAGGAAGACATGGAACATGTATTTCAAGAAATAATGACAGAAAATTTCATGAGATAGAGAAGAAAAACTCACACAAATCCAAGATGCTCGCAGAGTCCCAAGCAAAATGGATCCCAGAAGACCGATGACAAGACATATTATAATTAAATTGGCAAACACCAACGACAAAGTAAGAATCTTAAAAGCAGCCAGAGAGAGACAGAAAGTTACATATAAAGGAGCCCCCATCAGACTAACAACTGATTTCTCAACAGAAACTTATCAGGCCAGAAGGGAATGGGATGAAATATACAAAGTAATGCAAAGAAAGGGTCTGAATCCAAGAATACTGTACCCAGCAAGGCTATCAATCAAAATTGAAGGTGAAATCAGGAGCTAAAAAAAAAAAAAAAGACTAAAGGAATTTATCTCCACCAAACCAGCAATGCAAGAAATGCTAAAAGGTCTGCTGTAAAAATAAAGAAATAGGAAGTGAAGAAGGAACACAGGGGTATAGAATAAAAGTGGCGTCAAATGACTACTTATCATTTGGTAGTATGTAAATGTAAATGGTTTAAATACTCCAATCAAAAGACATAGGGTAACAGATTGGATAAGAAAACAAGACCCATATATCTGTTGTCTACAAGAAACCCACCTCAGAAAAAAAGATGCACACAGACTGAGGGTGAAGGGATAGAAAAAGTTTTTCCAGGCAAATGGAAATGAAAAAAAAGCTGGGGTAGAAATACTTATATCTGACAAATTAGATCTCAGAGTGAAGGACATAACAAGAGATAATGAAGGCGACTTCATAGTACTAAAGGGAACAATCCAACAAGAAGAAATAACCCTGGTAAATATATATGCACCCAATACAGGAGCACCCAAATACATAAAAAAAACTGCTCGAGGACATTAAGAGAGAGATTAATAGCAATACAATCATAGTAGGAGATTTTAATACCCCACTGTCATCCTTCAACAAATCATCAAAACAAAAAATCAGCAAAGAAATATCAATCCTAAATGACTCACTAGACCAGATGGAATTAATTGACATCTTCAGAACATTCCACCCCAAAGTCACAGAATATACATTCTTCTCAAGTGCACATGGGACATTCTCAAAGATAGACCACATTTTAGGACATAGGCCAAGTCTCTTCAAATTCAAGAAGATAGAAATCATATCAAGTATCTTCTCAGATCATAATGGCATAAAACTGGAAATTAACTACAATAAAAATAATCCAAAGAAATCAAACACATGGAGACTAAACAGCATGCTATTAAACAAGGACTGGGTTACCAGAGAAATCAAGGAAGAAATTAAAAACATCCTGGAAACAAATGACAATGAAAACACAACAATCCAATATCTATGGGACACAGCAAAAGCAGTTTTGAGAGGGAAGTTCATTACAAGCCTATTGCAAAAAACTAGAAAAAAATGATAACAAATGATCTAACTCTACAACTCAAAGAGTTAGAAAAAGAGCAGGATACAAAATTAATGCCAAGAAATCTATGGCATTTCTATTCACCAATACTTAACTTTCAGAAACAGAGACTAAAAAGGCAATCCCATTTACCATCACACCAAAAATATTAAGATACCTTGGAATAAACTTAACTAAGGAGGTAAAAGACCTATACATGGAAAACTACACGACACTGAAAAAAGAGATAGAGGAAGATGTAAACAGATGGAAGAACATACCATGTTCATGGATTGGAAGAATCAACATCATCAAAATGTCCGTACTTCCCAAAGCAATTTATAGGTTCAATGCACTCCCAATTAAAATACCAATGGCATATTTCACTGACCTAGAAAAAACTCTTCAAAAGTTCATTTGGAATAACAAAAGACCCTGAATAGCCACAGCAATCCTGAGAAAGAAGAGTAAAGTAGGAGGGATCTCAATACCAGGTTTCAAACTGTATTACAAAGCCACTGTTCTTAAAACTGCCTGGTACTGGCAGAAGAACAGACATATAGATCAATAGAATAAAATTGAGAACCCAGATATCAACCCAAATCACTATGCTCAGTTAATATTTGACAAAGGAGGCACGAACATACAATGGAGTCAAGACAGTCTCTTCAATAAATGGTGTTGCGAAAATTGGACAGATACATGCAAAAGAATGAAACTGGATCACCAACTTACACCATACACAAAAATAAACTCAAAATGTATGCAGGATTTAAACATTAGATAGGAAACCATAAAAATACTAGAGGCATCCACAGGCAGCAAAATCTCAGACATATGCCAAAAGAACTTCTTCACTGATACTTAGGGCAATGGAAGCTAAGGAGAAAATAAACAAATGGGACTACATCAAAATAAAAAGCTTTTTTACAGCAAAGGAAACCATTAACAAAACAACAAGAAAGCCCTCTGTATGGGGGAACATATTTGCAAATGTTATCACTGATAGAGGTTTAATCTCCAACATCTAGAGAAAGCTTACACAACTTAATAAAAGGAAGATAAATGACCCAATTAAAAAATGGGCAGTGGATCTAAATAGAATCTTCTCTAAAGAAGACAGAAGGAAGGCCAAGAGGCACATGAAAACATGCTCAAAGTCACTAATTATCTGAGAAATGCAAATCAAAACAACAATGCGGTACCATCTCACACCTGTCAGAATGGCCAACATCAACAAGTCAACAAACGACAAGTGTTGGCAAGGTTGTGGAGAAAAAGGAACCCTTGTGCATTGCTGGTGGGAATGTAAACTAGTGCAACCACTTTGGAGAACAGTATGGAGCTTCCTCAAAAAACTGAAAATGGAACTCCCATTTGACCCAGTAATCCCACTCTTAGGAATATATCCCAAGAAGCTAGAAACATCAATCAAAAAGAATATATGCACCCCTATGTTCATAGCAGCACAATTTATAATAGCTAGGATTTGGAAACAGCCTAGGTGCCCATCAGCAGATGATTGGATCCAAAAACAGTGGTACATTTACACAATGGAATATTACGCAGCCATTAAAAAGAAAAAATTCTCATGATTTGCAGCAACCTGGATGGAATTGGAGAACATCATGCTGAGTGAAACAAGCCAGTCAATGAAAGAGAGACACCACATGACCTCACTTATTTATGGATGATAAATAACATAATAAACTGAAGAACCAAAAGATAGATATAGAGACAGTAAAGCAAGAAGCAGACTGTCTAATTACAGCGGGGAGGTTGGGGAGATCTGGGGGAGATAAGAGATCAGCTGAAATACTTGTATACATGCATATAAGTACAACCAATGGACAAAAAACTCTTGGGAGGGAGGGTATGTATGGGAGGGGGGAGGCATTGGTATATGAACAAAAATAATAATTAAAAAAAAAAGAAAAAAAGAAACCCACCTAGTAAAGAGACCTTTGAGGCATGCAGTGGTATTGTTCCAAGCACACCCGCACTGACCCCTGATGGCTTTGTGAGAAATGGCATGAGTGATGCAGGGCTCACTCATGGTTCTGTTAACAATAGAAGCTAACACCAAACTGACACATCTTTTCAGGCTTGCTTTTACCAGATCGAATTACATTCTGTTAACATTTAGTATTTATGGGGGTACATCCCAATGCAAGTCATTTTTTTGGCATTTCTCACCGTAGAAAGCATAAGATAGTTGGGTGCAGTATTTCAGGGATTCTTTTATGGGCACCTGAGTCATGCCCAGGGTCCCTTCACAACAAATAGAAAAAGAAAGGTTGGAGCCCTAGTTGGTTTAGCTCAGTAGATAGAGCATTGGCCTGTGGACTGAAGGGTCCCAGGTTCGATTCCAGTCAATGGCATATACCTCGGTTGCAGGCATATCCCCAATAGGAGGTGTGCAAGAGGTAGCTGATCAATGTTTCTAACTCTATCCCTCTCCCTTCCTCTCTGTCAAAAATCAATAAAATATATTTTTCTAAAAACAAAACAAACAAAAAAAAACTTTTCCTCTCAACAACCATCTCACTTCATTGTGAAATAGCAGAGCATTGTTTGGCGCATCCAACTTGTTGCACAGTTGAGAAAACAGTCCACTTTTTAAAGTGCTTGCCTTTACAAAATTGACATAACTTATGATGCTTTTCATTACTTCTTATAACTCTTGTGGCAGTGTCTTCATTGCTAATATTTGCCGATGAATCGTACAGCAAGTTCCGATGACTTTTGGTGACTCATTCAGTACTAAACGTTGAAATCCAGATAGACATCCTAGTATACCTGGAGCACCATCTGTGCAAACACCACAAACTTTTCCCCAAGAGATCTTATGCTCTTTTAGAAACAAACCAACCGTCTAATACATCACGTACAGTAGTTGTCATTTCAAGAGGTTTGCAAAAAAGAAACTCATCCTTAAAATACCTCACATAAACCAGTAACTGTGAACAGTTTGCAACGTCTGTAGATTCATCATGCTGGATACTATTGAATAAATATTGGAAGTGAAGCAGATTTAATTTCCTGGATTATTGATCAAGAATATCAACAGACATGCCATCTATTCTTCTGTGGACAGTGTTGTTAGATAAGGAAATTGCACTCAATTTCCTAACAAATTTGTCTCTGATCATAACTGGAACAATGTCTTTGGCCGCTGGCAACAGTAAATCCTCAGCAATGGTGTGAGGTTTCATAGCTCTGGAGATTCTGAGTGCCACCAAATATGAAGCTTCAATGGCTGTTACGTTTTGTTGATGATTCTTGCCACCAGTGTCAAGTCTGGCTTTCTTTTTCTTCTTCTTTTTTAAAAATATATTTTATTGATTTTTGTACAGAGAGGAAGGGAGAGAGTTAGAAACATCGATGAGAGAGAGTCATCGATCAGCCGCCTCTTGCACACCCCCTGCTGGGGATATGCCCGCAACCAAGCTACATGCCCTTGACCGGAATCGAACCCGGGACCTTTCAGTCCCCAAGCCGAAGCTCTATCCATTGAGCCAAACGTGTTTCGGCGGAAATATGTATTTTCTGATAGTCTTAGGAGACTTCTGTGAAAGGGTGGTTCGATCCCCAAAAGGGATTGAGACCCAAGGTTGAGAACTGTTACCCTAGGCAAAGAGCAGACTAGGATCAAGGCACTGACTGAAGGAATTCAGTATGCACTGTTTCTTCAACTGAATAAGATTGAACTTTGTATCTATTATATTGATCTGTAATTGTAAATGTTCTGTAACTTAGTTTTCTTACTGGCACTGCCTATAGAACTATAGAATTTTTAAAATATATATTTTATTGTTTTTTTACAGAGAGGAAGGGAGAGGGATAGAAAGTTAGAAACATCGATGAGAGAGAAACATCAATCAGTTGCCTCCTGCACACTCCCCACTGGGGATGTGCCTGCAACCAAGGTACATGCCCTTGACTGGAATCGAACCTGGGACCTTGCAGTCAGCAGGCCAATGCTCTATCCACTGAGCCAAACTGGTTTCGGCAGAACTATAGAATTTTACCTTTAATTATAGCTACCATCTTTTTGTTAATATAAGAAATACTTTTAAAAGAGAAGGATGCCCTTGTAGTCTCATAGCCATTTCAATTATTATTTGAATATTAATAGAGGAATTTATATGATCCTACTGTCTATCCGCATCCCCCGTGGAAAAATCGTTAAAATCTCTTAGGACTTGATTTATTTTTTATTTTTTGTAAAGTAAAGTGTTATAGTAGATTAATTACATATATAACTTTCCAGCTTAAAAACATTGTCTGTTTTTTCATCTGCTAAGAGCTTAATAGCAAGTCAGTCAATATATATATTGGATAAAAACCCTTACAATTTAATTTAGAGAAAAATATAAATGCAAATGGTAAAAATAGGAAAGAGTTGGAAGGGCACACACTTAATCTGTACTGCTCATTTGGCAATTGATTATGCATCACTTTGTGACATTACTACCAGCATTATTTGAATTATGTTTTAAATAACTTTATTATATTCATTTGATTTATTCAACAAATAATTTTTAAGCACCTACTAGTGCCATGGATTGTTCTAGATACTGGACATACGGATTTAAAAATTTAGTGCAGTCCTGGTTGGTGTAGCAACATAAGGGTTGCCAGTTCAATTCCCAAGGCACATTCCCAGGTTGCAGGCTTGATCCCTGGTAGGGGGCAGGCAGGAGGCAGCTGATGTTTCTCTCTCTTTCTTCCTCTCTTAAAAAAAAAATCTTTAAAAAAAATCAAGTATTCATGAATTGGAAGACTTTATATTGTTAAAATGTCAATATTACCTAAGTAATCTTCAAAGTCAATGCAAACTCTATGAATCCCAATGGCATTTTTTTTTCAGAAATAGAATAAAAGATAAAAAGTTATATGGAATCTCAAAGGACACCAAATAGCCAAAATAATGTTAAGATAAAGCTGTGGTACATTTATACAATGGAATACTACAAAGCCATAAAAAGAAGGAAATCATGCATGCTTTTTTCTTTCTCAGTTAGAAGCATTTCAGTATCTGCTCCCACTCCATTTTATTTGTTTTCTTGCTGAGTTCTTACTATAAAAATCAGACATTTTCTAATCAAATATCTATGAATATATATAAAAGCCTAAGTGACTGGCTGGTAGCTATGACATTCAATGATCATCAGGGGGAAGATGCTCAATGCAGGAGCTACAAGTGACAGCAACTTTGCAGAGTGCCCTCTTGCACTCCAGGACCTCTTGGGGGATGTCAGACTGCCAGTTTTGGCCTGATTCCTGTGGGCCAGGCAGAGGGATCCCACCTGCCTCAGGGACCCTGTTCACTCTGCAGATGCCCTTTGAGCTCTGGTGCCACCCCAGGTGCAGTTGGCCAGGGAGGGGCTACAGGAGGTTGGCTCTTGGGTGTGTCCTGCCCATCTCACCCAATCCCACCCCACTGGCCACCTTATAATTAATTTCCTTTCAATGTGCACAAATCCATGCACTGGGCCTCTAGTATTGTTATAAGAATGGAGGATTGGGAAAATAATATTTATTAAGTTCATATATTAGACACTGTTATATGTATGATGCATAATATAATTTAAAAACTAGAGGTCCAGTACACGAAATTTGTGCATGGAGGTGTTCCTCAGCCCAGCTTGAACCCTCTCCAAACTGGGACACCCCTCTCACAATCCAGGACTGCTGGCAATCAACTGTTCACCTGCCTGCCTTCCTGATTTCCCCTAACCACTTCTGCCTGCCAGTCTGATCACCCCCTAACTACTCTTCTGCCAACCTGATTGCTCCTAACTGCCCTCTCCTGCAGGCCTGGTCACCTCTAACTGCCCTCCCCTATAGGCCTAGTCCCCCCCCCCCAACTGCTCTCCCCTGCAGGCCTGGGTCCCCTCTCCCAACTGCCCTTCCCTGCAGGCCCAGCCACCCCCAACTGCCCTCATCTGCTGGCCTGGTAACCCTAACTGCCCTCTCCTGCAGGCTTGATCACCACCAACTGCCCTCCCTTGCAGGCCTGGTCCCTCCCAACTGCCCTTCCCTGCTGGCCATCTTGTGGCAGCCGTCTTGTGTCCACATGGGGGCAGAATCTTTGACCACATGGGGGCAACCATCTTGTTTGTTGCAGTGGTGGTCAATTTGCATATTACTCTCTTATTGGCTAGGATAGAGTCCTGGTGCATGGGTGGGGTCCAGCTGGTTTGCCCGGAAGGGTGTCCCAGATCAGGATGAGGGTTCCCTTAGGACATGTGGTGGCCTGGGCAAGGGGCCTGTGATGGATTGCAGGCTGGCCACGCCCCCCAGCGACCCAAGCTGAGGCCCTGGTATCTGGGATTTATTTCTCTTTTATAATTGAAACTTTGTAGCTTGAGCAAAAGCCAGCACCAGCCATTGCCAGGGGCAACCCAAGCCTCCTGCTCTCTCCAGTTCTGTGGCTGCAGCCATCTTTGTTGGGATTTACTTATCTTCTATAATTGAAACTTTGTAGCCTTAAGCGGAGGCCAGGACCAGCCAGGGAGGGTGGGATGCTTGGATTCCTCCATCACTGGGGGCAACCTAAGCCTCCTGTTTGCTCAGTGGCTGCAGCCATCTTGGTTGGGTTAATTTGCATACTCGCTCCTGATTGGCTTGTGGGTGTGGCATGTGGGAGTAGTTGAGGTATGGTCAATTTCCATGTTTCTCTTTTATTAGTGTAGATATTAATAACCTTCAGACAGATAGCATTTTCACTTTATAGAGGAAGAAATGAGGCTTAGAGAGCAAAAGTAACTTGCTCAAAGTTACAGAGCTGGTAAAGGTTGATTTTGAATTCAGATCTGAATCTAAAGCTTCATTTACTGTGTTGCCTTTGTGGAGATTTGGGAATACAACCAAATCTTATTTATTTATTTATTTATTTATTTATTTATTTATTTATTTATTTTTATTGATTTTTTTACAGAGAGGAAGGGAGAGAGATAGAGAGCCAGAAACATTGATGAGAGAGAAACATCGACCAGTGGCCTCCTGCACACCCCCTACTGGGGATGTGCCCACAACCAATGTACATGCCCTTGACCGGAATCAAACCTGGGACCTTTCAGTCTGCAGACCAACGCTCTACCACTGAGCCAAACCGATTTCGGTGGAATACAACTAATTCTTTATGTCTACATTACTTATTTAATAAAATATTATATTCAGAATTGAAACATGGAGAACTAATATTTTCTTGAATTCATAGTTTTATTTAATATTTTTAAAATAGAGTATGTATTTCAGATGACAGAAACTATAAAGAAGCACATGATATAGATAGTTCTATTATACCCAATATTGTATATACCCAAGGGATAGGGAGAACAAAGCAGGAAAGAAAGAACTAGAGTGTTGAGGACTGCTTGTATGAATTGTCTGCCCTATGAGAAATTTAGACACTGGCCATTTAGAGATAAGAGGTTCCTCTGAGTACAAAGATCAATTCCATTTTAGTTTCAATAGTTTCTGTCACTTGGCACAGAAATACAGGCTCAGCTCTACCCCAATCTCTATGAGCCATCTGGCTGTCAAGTAAGGAAAAATGTAAAGAAGCTTAAACGAACAATTTTGTCAGCATAAAGTCAGCCTTCTTACTACTCCCTTTCTGACCTAATCACCTAGTCCATTGATTTCCACCGGTATGCCATGAAGGCACACTGGTGTGCTGTGAAAAAATTTTAAAAATATGTCATATCTGACTACTTAGTCAGGGACACTGACCTTTTTCCCTTCAGGCGTCTTCAAACTACGGCCCGCGGGCCACATGCGGCCCCGCAGAGGAGTCTGATCCGGCCCGCCAGG